TCTCTTTAGACGTAGAATGCAGCTGATTTCAGTCCAATTTACAGTCATTGTGCGTTATGTTGGGTTTTTAATTTAGATTTACAACAGTATGTTAACATGTGCAAAATTGAGTGTAACAGAGTTTTTGGTGTTGTTGAGTTTAAGTGAGAAAACAGTGCAATAAATGTGAATAATGTAGTCAGTGAATGCATTTTGTGAACCACCGTTTAGTCCTTGTGGCTGACTGTGTGAGTAGTTTTGACAAAGTAAACTTGTATAGAGAAATGTGAGATAGCGAGTGTAAAAAATTTTAAACCTGCAATAACAGAACTTGTTATGTCACTGCCAGCAGAAACAAGTAAGTAATACATATAAGTCCAATGTTAATTCTCTTATAGCTCTGTTTTTGGTCTCTACCAACTCCTGTGGGAAATATCTGGCTCTTTAGTTGCTAGACTCTGGTGCTGAGCAGGCACTGTTGGGCCGAGGGGAGCTGCAGATTTGGGTGAAAATTCTCTGTAGGTTCATGCTTATCATTACAGGGCAGCCCTTTTCACAGTGTCACACTGTGTTCACATTGTCATTTGATACAAAAGGACCAGTGTGTAGGATTTAGTTACTCATTCTAAGGTAACAAAAACACAACAACTCTTATTCAAGTGACTATACATTAAAGAAAACATACCTATGGATATTATATTCAATTTCTCTGCCAATAGATCCTCCTCAATGTTACACACTGGACCTTTAAGGTCCTGTGCTCTATCGTAAAACCCTGGCGATACACTATGCTGAGGGATAGCAGCCCTGTAGCATTTTATATACTGTAACTTTCTCATACACAAAGTAGTTACAGCTGAAAACTCATAATTTGGCTGAAGAAGAAGAAGAAATAACACAAATTTCCTAAAATTGAAAAGTTATAAGAAATAAAGCAGGGTTGCTGCCTTACTTGGTCTGTTATGACCATGGTTTATGGTGGCTAATGTCATGTTATCAGTAAGTAAATACACACACACACACACACACACACACACACACACACATACACACACACACTCTTACCTTTTTGGTGAAGTCCATGGCTTTGAGGATGGAAAGGTTGAGCGTTTCCAATGAGGCCAGAACTCCCTCATAGTCCCCCATGTGCTTAGCAAAGTAGTCTGTACACACACACAGGCAAATTGGCACATTACAAGATTTATACAATCTCTTGCAGTCACAAAATTATTTGCAGTGGTTAGCCATAGCTAAAGTCACTGTTAATATATTAACATAATATATTTTAAAGAAAAAATAATTGCATTTCATCTGACAAGTACTTTTTAATAATAGATAAGAGAGAGAATGAGGGCAGCAGCGGGGAAGTGTGTGTGTGTGTGTGGGGGGGCAGTCTACTTACCGCAAAGTTCCTTAGTGTCAACATTACTATTACAGCATAGCAGAGGAGCAGCAGAGGGAGAGAAAGGGAGGGAAGGAAGGAAAAGGATGGAGAAGAGCAGGGTCAGAAACAGAGGAAAGGCCTTTTCCATGCACCCTCTCTCTCTCTCACACACACACACACAAAGTTGGAGTTTTGGCAGGCAGGGAGCGATCTAACAAGACTCTCTGACAGGAGTCTGAATCAATCCACTGCCATCATTCATTCTCAGTTCACTGTGCGGGGACTCATTTGGCAGCGAATTCTTCACTGGCGTAAAGAAGACTTTCCCTGGTTGACTGACTGGGAGAGAAAGAGGTGAACAAGGGAGGAGACGCAGCGGTAGAGAGAGAGAAAAGAAGAAGTGAGGGGAAGGGGAACCGACCAGAAGAGGGATGTGAGATGTAAGTGATGATGGGAGAAGTGGGGACAGAGGAGGAGACAGGCAGTAAGACTCCATCTGTGCATCTGTTCATCTTAATTATAAATTACTGCTCAATAAATGCTGCACATTAAAGGGAATGTTTAAAAAACCCACAGTAACTGAAAAAGTCACTGCTATTTCAATATTAGCCTGCGCCCTTTATGCTCTCTTTTGATGAATGATCCTTGTTAGACAGCCTGATCTGATAATGGCCCATTATATTTTATTTTGCAGCAGCTTCTCTTGAATTTGCGGGCTCTGCCAGAACTGATCCGGATCCATCACTGTGACAGATGGGCTTTAAAAATGTCCACCAAAAGTCTAGTTTTACACAACAATAAATGTATTTCAATGCTTACTAATGACATATGCAGTTTAACGTTTCATTTGGGGGTGTTTGTCAGCGCTGTAAAACATTCAGTCGGCTAAAATAAAAGTGGCAGATTGTTTACTATCCAAACTGTAGATCCAGATGCTGCACATTTCACAGAGGAAGTAAGCCAGTAATTATGTTGTTCTCTGCGAGGATACGGGCGCCTATTGAGTTAGTGATAAGATTTATCATCATAACTTATCCCTTAAGTTTTATTAGTCCTTGGTATTCCACCTTATAGGAATATACTTCTGGAATTAGCACATTGTCACAGTAACAGACTTATCAAACACAGTGAAGTGGCTGAGCAAAAACAATGACGTCGTTAAAAGAATTTCATATCAGACTGTGTTTATGAACCATTATTGCTGTGTGTATATTGAAGAGGCCCGCCACAGATTTCAGACATCAAATTCAGTTATCGAACTTTCACCAATAGGGTACCGGCTCCGTTCTGGTTCAGGTACCTGGTTTTGAACCATTCGGACTATTTTGGCCAAAAAGAAAATTGGTTTGGAAATTAGCAGGTTTTTCTTGGGAACCAAAGTGGGCAAGTCACATTCTACAGGTTGTTGCGCACTGTTCAACACCCTCTGATGAAGACGTATCCTTGAGCATCCACTCAAAACTGGTGGAAATGCGGGACGGTTCACTAGATAGCACCAAAGTTCCAAGGATCTTGAACGGGACCGGTTTGTTATTTGGTGGAAACACAGTGCATGTGTTGCTGACTTAGGCAAGGGAGCTTAAGGTCTTTTCAGAACTAAAGTTATTGGCAGAGCATCGCTGCAAGACTGGATGTGTCAGGTAACTTCAGTTTTAATTTAAAGGTAGAAAAATGGCAGACTCCATAGAAGGTGACCCATGGTGTCTGTACATAAAAATGTCTCATTCTAGGGCAATGAAAACATAACGATTCATACATTAAGGTGATTATACACTAATGAAAACATACTTATGAATATTATATTTTATTTAATTAATCATTTAATAGATTCTCCTTACACACTGGACATTTATGCTAGGCTATAAAGTAATGACTATGCTAATTTAGCTAACTTTAGCTTTCAACAATAACATGGCATCAAAAACAGGATTGCCACCAATTGTCAGTAGTGTACAGAACCCGTCTCATGGAGTGCTTGTCTCCCTGTCTATTTAACATGAGGAGTGCAGTGAGGCCGTCTGAAAATACCTTAATGGTGTGTCTACACAGAAGCTGCTACTCTGCTATGTGTGTGTAAGCACCACGGTGTATAAGTCATAACTCAGGCTCTGCTGCACCAGAGTTCAACTCTCTTATGAGTCCTCAACTTTATGGAAGTACAATACTAAATCACTTGCCTTAAATCATGCCAGTTACATTTGATTTGTATATACTGTTTTGTTTTATATTACATTTTGCTCTGTGAATGTTATTATATTTTTCTATGTGTAGCCAGAAGGACCTGCACATTTCTTTGATTCCTAGATTAATTTATTGTTTATTTGACATTATTTTATTACATATGCTTTATTTCTGTGATTTTTTGACATAAAAACAAATTAGGGAAAAGGGTGATTGAATGTGCAGATCTTGTAGGGTTTTGTAGGGTTTTTTTGACCAATCTGAAGGCATACTGGGAAAACAACTCCGTCTCCAGTGTATAAGCAATCAAATCATTATTTGTTGCTTTTTACTTTTACAACCGATTGTCCATAAAGATTTAGCATCTCTGTCTGACTCCTGGAAGCTTTATAATTTGTTAAATTGACTAAATGATAAGCCAGACTTATCCACTATGTTTGTCCATGCTTTTGGGTAAAAGACAATTCATCAGGTGCCAAATAATTGGCACAAAACCCCCCAACAAAAACGAAAAAAAACACCACTTGAGTCTGGATATCACCTGAGATTTCATGTTCTGCCCTAATCTCCAACACCATGTCACTTCAATAGGGACGATGGAGGGCTGAAGACAGGAGTGAGTGACAGATGGAGAGAGATTGGTGATGGGCAGAGTGGCAGAGAAAGATAAAACAAGAAGAGCCTGGCAGAAGACAGAGACAGAAATCTCAGAAAACAGCCAAACAGGGAAAGAAAGCTGGAGATGGGAACAAACCAAAGAGTGACAGGGACAGAGAGACAAATGACTGGAAGCAGGACAGCGCTCAGTCTCTGCCGGCTCCCTCCCTCCTCTACATCCATCAACTTCCTGCTTCAACAGGAAACGCTTACGCCATCATTTCTTCTTTTACTTGGACCAATCAATAACCTTATCTGCTGTCACATGATAATGCTGAGGCCTGTCGTGCGTCTGCCAAGTCTACTTAACTCTAATGAGTAAAAACTTTTCAGACTGCATCCACTGCGGTGAATAAGATTTATAAAGCGCGACCATCTCCAAGACGCAAGATGGCTGACGTCAGAGAGATAGCGGGGGGCGGAGGCACGGTTCACTTACTGCGCTGATTTAAAAAAGAAAAAATCTCCACTAAAGGCTGAGCCTGGTAGAGGATTTATACATTGAACCTAATTCAATTCTACAACAACCATAAAGGTCAGCTTTTGTTCTGCTTGGTTTCATTTTATTTCAAGGCCCTGCAGGTTTCCGCGGTTGTGTAAATTAACAGAGCCGGTCTTTTGATCACTCAGATCCCACTGTGTCAGCACACTTCTGCTGATTGTAGGCCGGATGAGCTGATTGGCTGATTATAAAGGGTCAATAAATTGATTTAATGAGAGCCAATCGAAACAGATCGTCCTGGGGAGAAGAAAACGTAGCGAGGTTTATGTCCTGGAGGGTTAAGATGACTAATGCAAAAATAGATAATGAGACAGAGGAAGAGAAGATTTAAAAACAGCTAACACTGCCTTGCCTCCACTTTCATTCTTCCAATATATTATAATTTTGCCATTTTCATTTAAAAAATATGGGACCAATTATGCTAATTTCCAGCTCTACATTTTAATTATGGGACTCCACAAATAGTTTTGCATGATTCACATTTAAAAAATCCTTATTTATCTCATACTGGCCCTTGCGCTTATATGCAGTCTCTCAGTTCATGGCACCACTTTTCTGACTCAGGAGCACCGAGCTTGGCACCAGAAGACCCAGTCGTCTGGGGCAATTCATTGGTTCAATTCAATTTTAATTTCGTATAGTGCCAAATTCCCATAAGCAGAAGAATATATCTCAGGCACTTTCTCAAATGAGAGCGTCCAGACGGTTGACGTCCTTAGTCTAAAGATATGGCCAGACGGGACGCCAGTTTGTGCAATTACCGGTGCGGATGTAGTCAAGATTACAGAAGTTACCCTTTTTCCATTGCAGGACGTTCCTGCGAGCAAGTAGCTCAACTGAATAGTACCGTCAAAAACGATTTGAGTAATATGACTTCCATGTGTTTCAATGAATCTACTGGAGTTACAGAAGAACATGAAAAGCTGTGATAAACAGTACAATTTTTCAACATAGAATACGATGAAAGGTAGCTCAAGATTTCCGAAAGCTGACCGTGCGCCTGATCACTATTGACTACTGCAGGGAGGCCTGCCACTGGTTCGACTGTAGGGTTAAAAGAATGGCTACTACATTGCAAGCTTGTTTCTCTCCACACTAACTGAACAGAGTAATCTCGTTAATGTCAATAAACAATGGTCATATATTTTTACAGCATATGGAAAACCTAAGGAAGTGCAACAAGAAATAGGAAAACATATACATGACATGCAGTAACTTCTTTTCTTTTGGGAAAGATAAATCTCATGGATAATACTTAAAACAATTTGTAGGCCGTGTGCAATCTGGTTTTTCTGAGACATCTTCTGTGACAGCTCTGCCCCACAATACTTCAAGGTTTCTTTTAAGCAAATTCGTGTAATGCTCTAATTTGAGTCAAGTGCCTGACCTTATATCATCAACACTGATAGTTCAAGCTTCTTGTTATATACCGCTGCTTT